CGCCGCTAACGCCGTGAAGGCGGCGCCTTCCCAGCCTCCTCCTGGCTGTTGCTCTCCTTCGGGTGTGTCCCTTGCGCCGCCGGCTCGGTCTCCATAGGCTCTCCTTGCTGCTTAGACAGGCCTACTGTCGGTTCCTTTCCCCGGCCTTCTTCTCTGCTCTTCCTGGCTGCCCTCCTCTTCTCTCCCTTGCTCGGGAGTCGGCACGCTGCCCCTCCAGCCTTATGGTTGGAGGGCAGTCCTCTCCCCTTGCATACTGCGCAGTTGGGGGTCTCGGTACACCCCTGCGCCTTATGCCCTTCTTTGCCGCACCGATAGCATAGCATGCTCCTATCGGTGCTGCTCCTGCATTGCGCTCTAATGTGCCCCCTCTCCAGGCACCTGTAGCATACTAACGGGCGGGGGTCGAGCATCTCCACCCTGCACGACACCCAGCCCAGCTTTATTCTCCTCATCTCGGCTGTTCTCCTCGCCACCTCGAGTCCACACTGGATCCAACATGTTCCCATTTCGCCGGATGGGGCCTACCTTTATGTCGTCCGGGAGCCCACCTCCAGCCTTCGTCACCGCAGCCCGAATCTCTTCTTCAGAGACGGATTCATCTAGATCCTTAAGCCGGATCTCCGCCCTTTTTTCGGGGCGGGTGACCTTCACGCCCTTGCCCTCCCCAACTGTTTTAATCTTGGTGGCAAGCGTGTCTGCCTTTTCCTTGGCTTCGGCACCTCCCGAGATCTCGAGCAGAGTAGCCCCGTTCAGGGCTTTCCTGCTCTTGACCTTATCAATTCCTAGGTCCTCCAGTTTAATTTGGGACCTCAGGAATCTCATTCCCTCGGCTGCCTGTCCTTCCGGGAATGAGATCGCCACCGCGGCGGTTTTGGGCGACCTCCTCTTCAGCTGCTCTTTTTGCCCCTTCTTCTCGGCTCCGTTGGTGGTTGCCGCAGTCACAGGCTTCCCGGATTTCGCCACCGGGCTTTGCTCCTTGTTCACCGGCTTCTTCCTCCCCTTTCTCACCACCTCCGCCCAGGAGGCAGTTGGCTTGGCTAGAGCCGGGGTCCTCTTTTCCTCCTTGGAGGGCTTCTTTTCCTCCTTCGGCATCTTGGTCTCCTTGTTGCTTCGGACGATCCGCGCCGCCGTCTCTCTCGCCCTCAGCCTCACCTTGTCCTTAACCTCCTCCATGCTGGTAACGACTGGGAGTCTCTTCCCACTCTCCCCCTTTCCTTTCGGGATTCGGCTCAGCGCTCCCTGGCACCTAGTTATTAAATTTTCCAGGTTGCGCTTCACCTTGTTTGAGTCCCCGCAGACCACCTCCTTTATGGAGACTCCCTCCATGACCCGCCTGATGCCCTCCATGGCGTCTTCTTCGGGCGGGTCCTCCAGTGCTTTACGCTCTCCCCTCAACATTGGTCGATGGACGGTATCGTCGGACCTATCTGCTGTCTCCAGCTTTCCCCTCTTAGCGGCCTCTTGTTTCCGGCCCTGGGCCTTGGGCTTTTCTTGTTTCGCCAGCTTTACTGGCTTCCCCTGGTCTTGCGCTCGGGCACTGGCCTGGGAAGAATGGTTTGCCCCCTGCCGCACGTCGGGCATCTCCAGCACTACTTCGGGCATTTCCTCGACCGTGGCCATTTTCTCGACCGTGTCCATTTCCCTTTCCGCCTTCTTTTCCGCCGCTATCCTTGCGGCTCTCTCCTCTTGGAGGAGGGCCGTGAGCTTCTCCACCTGGTCCTCCAGGCTTCTGACCCTCGCTTTCCACCTCTCGATCTCCTCCGACGCCGTGCTGTTGGGGCCTGCTGACTTTGTGGCCACCACCGTAGCCGCCGCTCGTAGCGTCGCGGAAGACGCCTTCAGGTCCCTTACGTACGTGCCTTTTAGGTTCGACGACCTTTCGGCAACCTTGACCACGACATTTATGTTTTCCAACATTTCTGCCGCCATCTCCTCCTGGCTGAGGGACTCCATGCGACGAATGGTTTCCTTCTCGGGCGTCGCGCTTCTTGGGGCCACCTTTGGGTTAACCACCTCCTCCAGTGCCTTCTTCTCCGCTTTGAGCAGCCGGATCTCCCTTATGCACTGTTCCTTCTTCCTTTTTATTCCCTCAAACGGTTTTGGGGGCCTCCCTTTCCTCTTCCGTTTTCTCGTTATATGGTCCACGGAAGAGATCGATGACTCCTCACTGTCTGTGTGGGGGACATCGTCCTCCCTATCCTCCTCCTCCATGTCGGACCAATCTGAGTCCGGGATCGGGAGGTCTTGGATCTTCTTAGAGGACCGCGGCCCTGGCCTGTTCCGCGTTCTCTTAGCCAGCACACTGACTCCCTCGCGTCGGGTCTCTCCTTGGGGCTCTGCCGACCCACCTCCCTTTGTCCCCTTGGAGCTGCCCGCTTCGCCGTCTTTAGTCTCCGCATGGTTTTTTGTGTTTTTTGACTTCATAATGGCAGTTGTGGTTTACTCCGGTTCGCCCATCATGGGACCCCCACCGCGGTGGGGGTGCTATCCCCGGTTAAGTAAAACCCTAGTTAAGGGCCGGGAAGCGGAGAAGCCGCTTGTCGGGGAGCCACCCCTATCCCGGCCAGTGACTCTATGAAAAAGGTTCCTGGAGACGGCCAGGTCCACCATTATGTTATAGGATTATCCTCACCCCAGGGACGGGACGCGTGCCGATCCGATCGGTCGCTCACCCT